TGGTGCACCAGATCTTGTTGAGGATCACTTCCTTGCTCTTCTCCTTTCACATGCCTCTTTTTTTCGTGCCTATTATTCACCCAGCAAGTCTTCTACACGCAGATATGTTATCGGCTACTTTTCAACCTGCCTCTTTGAACTGGGGCCACAGATATCTGTATAAACCCTACACTGCTTCCCCGAAATGCTGACCAACACCGGTACGTAGATGTTCATGCTGAGCAAAAATGACTAGAACACTACTACCACAAGTGCTACGATTACTTCCAGTTTTCTGGCATCCATGGTTACACTCTTGACTAATGCATAAGACAATGTAGTGGCCAATCGATCTAGACAACCGACTTATTAGGCTATATATTGCCCCTTGATCCAACAATTTAATGTGTCTTATAACTAATCAAGTGAAACCATAACTGCTACCAACACGCAATATATGAAATTGATAAAACAAGAACATCTAACAATTGAGCATACAGTTGGAACATACCTTTTTCCTCACGCTTCACTCAATTCCTTCCTGCCCTTTTGCTTATGACTAGTTTATAAGCAAGACAGCCTTGCGAGAACTTCACAGGGTTCTCAATACCCACAGCTGGAGCAGAGACTCTAGGATGGCACAAGAGGCCAGTCAGTGTTTGGGTTGCAGGTGATCTTGAGATGAGACGCCGTTGCCTGTGGTATGTGGCCACCCCTACAGACCGGACAGGGCCGGTTCGGGTGTGGACTGTGGAAGCACCACATCCAATTCTCGCAGTTGCAGTTACTGCATTGAATGCAGTACCTGCCTCCGACATGCTAGGAACATTGAGGCACGCAAACCGCAATTATACAGGCATCGCCATTCCAGTCCGTCTACAAGTTGGACATTACAAGTCCGGGTGACATACATGAGTGCAATGTGGTCGTCAAACATTTGAAAACAAGAGCTTGCATGGGCTATGCCTTCATAATCCTCACGACACAGGATGTGAATCACACGCTAGCCGAATCTCAGATCGACCATCACAGAGCGCCATAAAGCAAGCTTCTTAAGTTTCTGCAGTCATTGCTCCGTCTCTATGGTCATGCAACGACGTGGGCTGGTCCAAGGTAAGGGTGTTTAGCTGTTGCAAGATTTGGTCGGCAAAAGCTGGCCTTGGTGGTGGTGATAACCTTTCAGTACAACAACTGTAGGTGGTTCATGCGAGACTATTTTATTCACGAGGCTGCTGCGCCTGCTGCTAGATATCCGCAACGAGACGGACACAACTTATTTCATGCTTGGAGCATGCACGAAAGACACCTGGAATGACAAACTCATTCCGGGGACCATAGGCTGTCATGAAGCAGATCACTGGATTTACCCAGTCCTGGAAGATCTCCGACCTCCGAGATGCAGTTGATCGGGGAGTTCGTGAACGCGAGGCGTAGGTGGGATACCAGACCAGACGCGGCAAGGCATGAAGCAACGTCGTCTCTGAGATTCGACTGTGGTTGCATCAGGTGTATGGCTAACGCTGAATCTGGGACATGGAAGGAGAGGATGTGGTGGGTGATGGCATCGGGGATAGCCCAAGCAGTAGAGACACATGCTTTCAATGACAGGTTCCTGAAAACATCGACGACACATGGCATGCTCCTGACATGCAAGCAGGAAAGCAGGCTGACGTTCAAAGCTATTTAGACCACCAGTACATGGGTATGTTGAATACAGGACTCGAACACACCACTCTCAGCTTGGCAGGCAAACACCCAACCATAAGGCTAAGTGGGCTGGGGTGAAAGTGAAGCCGCAAGATGAGCACTTCACCCCAACCCAGCACGGAGATCCCGCGACACCGTGTACTCAACCGCACTCATCCTACACAGACACACTGCCCGTAGTATAAGCTCTACGCTGGTTACTGCACGAAAGCACGTGTATGCCGAATACAGGACTCGAACACACAACTCTCAGCTTGGCAGGCAAACACCTAACCATAAGGCTAAGTGGGCTGGGGTGAAAGTGAAGCCCCAAGATGAGCACTTCACCCCAACGCGACACGGTGTACCCAACCACACTCATCCTAAATAGCCACACTGCCCGTAGTATAGTCTCTACGTCGGTTACTGCGCGAAAGCACGTGTATGTCAAATACCGGACTCGAACACACAACTGTCAGTTTGGCAGGCAAAAACACCTAACCATAATGCTAAGCGGGCTGGGGTGAAAGTGAAGCCCCAAGATGACCACTTCACCCCACCCCAGTACATGGCCCCAAGCAACTGGAGAACCTGTTTTGAGCCTCTCCTCAAATTTAGGAGGCCGAGCGCCATAGATCAAATGAATCGGCGGTGGGCGGCCTCCAAAAGGGGACCGCGGCCGATAGCTGTCATGTACTGGTGCTTCAAGCATGACATATCAAGGCCACAATGGCGTATAAGGCAAGTGATAAGAGGGTTGCGTGTGCGAGTGCAAGACAATGGGTCACAATTTACACGGCAGAGGCTGGGAGAGACCATCCCTTCATAGTGTGTGGAGCAGAGGTTATACCTTGTGCATTCTAACCGAACTGCAGCTGTGTGGAGACAAAATGGCATGGCACAGACCATCCTCTGGATCTGACCCATCACTATCCGATCCACACAGGGAAGGGATGGTGCCTGGCCATGTACAGGGGAAGGCGAAGATTCAGCCGATTGTTCTCTCAAGACTGTAGAGCTTGCAAGTGCACTTCTAGATATTGTTCCTGATTGACCAGCCAGACAGAGTGGGATTCTGCCACGCAGAGTAATATTTCCCACTGTGTGGACCCTACTGTCATTGTCCCAAACAGTCCATGAGTTATCTGCAAAAAAGTAACAGCATGTATGCAGGAATGCTCGGGTGCATGGCTGGCGTGTAAATCTGTTGCGTGGGCTGGATTTGTGAAACGGTATTCACCAATTCGTGGTAGCTGATGCAGGTCCCAGGGCTCGATCCCTGGTTCCCCAACTTACATGTGTACAATACCTGCGTCAACTCGAAGAGTTGAACCCGCGACCTGTAAAACCGCCAGTGGTAGGTAGGTCTGTTGTAGGTCTATAGGTAGCCAGGATTCGATCCGTAGCCCTGTAGATTAGAAGGCTAGCTGCAGTCCTTCTAGAAGGTTGGCAAGTGGTCAAGTGGTGCAGGCAAGTGGGCAAGTGGTGTGACTAAAGCAAGCCCACGTTGGAGACAAGGACAAGTGGCAAGGTCAAATAGTAGGACCCCAGTGCAACTGCACTGCGTCGTAGGGTCATCGTCAAACAGTCAAGGGAGAGTCTAGAAAGTACCAGTCCGGTCCAGCAAGTACCACGGGGGGGACTGTGTGCACCATGGGCCAGGGACACAGGGCAGACCAATGCAGCGCAGAAGAATAAATCAAGAGGCTGCGTCCAGCCAGGGGGATGATTCCTGCGGATGCCATGCAGAAGCGCTGCCTTAGCAGCTTGTGCGAGGAGGTCTGCAGTGTGCCCGAAGACGAAGTGGGCAGAGAAGTGTAGTGTAGCGATAGGTAGTGGCAGCTAGCGCTGCCATAGCTGTAGCATAGCGTGTGTGTGTGTGTTGCGTATGATACTGAGTGTTGCGTGTGGGACATCCAGGGTGATCCAGAGTGCGAACAGTGAGTTGTGTGGGCGCCCAGTCGCCATAGCCAGTTGAAGAGAACTCATATCTGGTTACGATATCTTAAGTMCTGTCAGGGCGCATGTCGCCAGTTGCTGTATCGCTGTTTGCATGCAAGACAAGTGTGAATAATCGGAGTGTGAATGCACTGGTATCGAAGCAGGTACCCGCTGTTCCATGCGCGCGATGTGTGCAGGGCCGATCGGCCATAGCTGAAGTTCCGCCGGAGGAGGTAGTTCGCCATAGCGGACCTCGAGGTGGAAGAAGAAGCCGCGCACCTGCAACAAGGAGACCACGAGAGAGAGAAACGAGTGATACAAGATTGGTTACTTACCTGCTGCACTGAAGATACCGCTACGGCGGAAGGGAGAGAGAAAGGGAGGACAGAGAAGGAGGGACTGAGGAGAAGAAGAAAGAAAGTGAAGGAAGGGGAAGAAGACGGCGAGGGTGACAAAGGTGATAGTGCCGACAGCCATAGCCGAGGTTGAGGGTTGACCGGGCGTTGACCAGAGCGTTGACCAAGGGTTGACCAGAGGGTTGACCACGCATTGACCGAGGGTGTTGACCAAGCGTTGACTCGAGGTTGTCCGCGTTGACCCAGCGTTGACCAAGGCGTTGACCGGAGCTGCTGACCAAGATTTTGACCAAGCTGGAGTTGGTGATATCTCGCTGAGCCCTTGGCCTATCCCCTTACCCTGTGGATGTGCACTTACCCCACGGTACTTGCTGAGTTGCCTGTCTACTCTTTCTGCATTGAGTCTCTTCTGTCTTAGGTGCTAGGACTCTGTGGATGAAGGATAGGGCCTTGCTGCCAAACCTGCACGGGCTTAGTAGGACCAAAGCTCTACTCTGGCACTTGGAGACCTCGGCATGAGCGGCGAGCGCTCGTTAAACAACTCGTCTAGCCCAATGACCGGTACTGTCCGGCAGATCTACCGAGTTCAGTGTGGAGGGTCTGAACTCCAAGCTGTAGGCTGAAACGAAGGCCGTCTTTAAGTGTTGAGGCCTGGTTGAGCCACTCCCCTACCGGACCCAGAAGGCTGATGATCCGTGTCTGACGACTCGACTGTCCCGAGGGATACGAACCCCTCCAAGGACCGGTACTGACCGGCGGGCTGCTCGGTGTGGCACAGGAGGCTGGACGGGCTGAGTTGTGGGCTGAAATCGCCAGAGGAACCAAGCTGATCGCGTCGTCCTGTCTGCGACGTTAAAGAATTCTTGCGAAGTTTGGGGGATCTTCTTAAATACCTCCTGATCAGCTCTTGGTTCTGTAGAGACAGCCTTAGAGTAGTCTTGGGTTAGTTGTGATCATCATTGACATGGTCTTATCCTGTGGTCCTTAGGGAGTCAGTCAGTAGGTTAGAGTGTCCGGGTAGGTCTACGTGGTGAGGAGTGGGACCTTTGTCGTGCACCAACACCACGATGGATGACTATCCGATGTATGGGCTACTTGTTGGGTTCTCCCTCTGGGGGACCCTTTGACGTCTCCTCTTTCCTCYGGGCTTTTGGCCCACTTTCACGTGTAGAGTAGGGCCCACTCGTGGTGGTACTTCCACCAACCCCTACACGAAGGAGGAGGAGGAGAAGATGGCCGCCATTCTGCAGGAGAAGAAGGAGAAGGAGGCCAAGAAGAAGGCCTTGAAGGAGGAGCAGGCGGCCAAACTGAAGAAGATAGAGGAAGAGATGGCCAAAGAGAAGGAGAGGATACAAAAAGAAGAAGAAGAGAAGTTGAAAGAGGTGGAAGAGGAAGATGATGAAACGCCATTGCAGAGGAAGAGGGTGCAGTACARTGGTAGTAGGGATGAAGAGATGGAGAAGCGAATCTCCGAGTGGGTCGCCAACTTATCCCTGGGCGAAGAAGAAGAGGTGGCGATGTATATCTCTAAAGATGATCAGGAAGCCGCTATGAGAGCTTGGGAAGCAGAAAAGGATGTTGTGAAGCGGCAAGCATTGGAAGACGAAAAGAGGATGGAGTGGAAGTTGGCAATGATGAGGGAGAAGAAGAGGAGAGTGGACGCGGCAGCGGAGGCGGTAGAAGAATTAGAGGAAGTAAAGAATATAGAAGAGCATCTGGCCGCCCGGACCGAACTCCCAGCGCAAATGCGAGTCATAGCCCAAAACGTTGCACGCCTGGCACGAATTCAGGCGGAGCAATATGATTTTAGTAGGAGTCAACACATAGTTGTGCGTTCCATAAAGTTGGGGTTTCGGGACTTTGCGCGTGAGCTGGTAGGCGCTATAGGGACCAAGGTGGGTCACCGCCTTGACAAGACTGAGCGGTTCTGTGCCGGCGCCATTGAGGGTGTCAAAGCGGCAGCTCCCAAGGAGAAGGAGGCACGTCCTCCTCGTTGGGAACCGGTCAAAGTCAAATTCCCTGATTCCAACAGTGGAAAAAGGGAAGAGAACTTCGACAATTGGGAGGCCAATGTCAAGACCTATGTGCATCTGCAACAGGTTTCCCCGGATCAGCAGGTTCTGATTGCGATTCACGCGCTCAGAGATGAATCCGCCAGCTTTGCAAGGTCCCTAGTTCGCACTGCCAATTGCAGCGATGACCCCGTTGCGTACTCCTCGTTCACTTTCCTCACTGAGTTCTTGAAGCTGTTGCGCGAGAGGTTCGCCGATGTCGCCCGTAGCATTAAGGCCTCAGACAGGCTGCAGACGATCCACGCTCGTAAGTGGAAGGGCGCCAGGGCACTTAAGAGTACCATGGACGAATTGGTAGCTGTCCCTGACCACGGAGTTACAGACACCCAGTTGGTTGGCCTCTTTTATCGGGCTATACCSGAMGCCCTCCGAGGGCATTTCTTYGCAAAGAGCGAAGACCCTGCCACTACATACGATTCCCTTAGTCGCGAAGTAGTGGCTTTTGAAGCCAAGTCTGCGTYTGTGTCCACTTTCTGGCACAAGGACTTGGACAAGGGTAAGCAATGGAAGGGCCGCACTATCTCAGGGCAAGTAAAGACCAAGGACAGCCTTGTCCTAACCTTAGACGAGGGTAGTGTGGATGCGATCCCTTACGACCAGATTGAGTGGGGGTTAGAGAAGGAGGACAGCGGTGTGGGCCAAGGGAGATCTTACGCTGCTGTCGCGGCTGGAGGGAGGCCGCAAGGAGGAAGAGGCCAGGGCCAAGCGGGCCGGGCCTCAGGGAGTCGATTTCAGGGCGATCAGGGGGTTGGTGGCAGAGGAGGAAACCGCCAAGCGGGAGGCAGGGTTCAAGGTCCCCCGCAAAACCGTCCTAGGAATAGGTCTCCCTATAGAATAGGAGGATGGCACCCAAGGCTACCTCAGGGTAGGCCTTGGGAATCTTTGGGTATGGACCAGGCTTTATGGCAACAACGATTGGACCGGGGCCAGTGCATTTTCTGC